TAGGAAACCTGTATGGACACAATTACGGAACACTTTGCAAGAGAGGATTTTAAATGGCTGCGATACCTGTCCCTGCCGCTATGGGGCAGTGGTGTGGTTTGAAAGAAAGTGAGATGCCGTGTTAGAAAAAGCGAATGGATTAGCTTGGTTAATTGATTCATTCGTCCATACCTTCTAATACCAAAGTTATGAATTATCTTTCGAGAAGTTTGTCAGACGTGGCGGATGTTTGCTGACAGATATTTCGCTGTACCTTTACACTAATGTCTTTCTATGCACAAGCAAGAGAGACTGGACACCCAAATAAAACGTAAGTAGGCCTATAATAATAATTCGTGCCAAATTAAAGTGAATAAAATAAAGTGCCCGTCACCGTCAACCGTGAGAAGAATTGGTGACGGGCTCTGCAAGTACATCGGCTTGTAATACAGCACATTGCCACGTGTCGATCTTTTTGCGTTTTATCCCAAATCGGCTTTACAGGTGGCTACAGTTCTGATCATTTATGGTTATTATATATAAGCCTAGACTTTTGTTGGTTACTTACGCAGCTCGCTAAAGCGGCCCCATCGCAGCATTAATCCTTTACTGCGCTTACGCCCCAAACCTCCGCGCCACATCACTTTATATGTTCCTTTCTACACTTTCTTGTCTCTGTCTGGTAAGAATTATCCGGGCAATATTTCACTACCTATGGTGCCTGGGATAGGGTCGAGCCCCCCCGCGACCCTAATCAAAATAAGCAGTTAGATGGATGAATGGATGGATGTTTCGCTAAATTTGAGTTGTTTTCACTTTGTTCAGGTTACTTGTGTTGACATTTGAAAAATCACATGGAACCGTGATTTAAATCCCCCCGACCCACCGCTATGATGTATTTTATATGACATTGGTTAACTGATGCGTAGACAGAGCACCGGCATGACCGAGCTTCCAGTGTGGCCCCCTCCCCGCAGACCCCGAGGGTTGCCATAGTGACTGGCGGAGAGTGGTCCTCCAGCGCCTATCCACTGAGCGTGCTCACCACAGCCCCCGACTTGCTGCTCTCCTGGTGATCATTTTGCTTTATTTTTCCCCGGCATTGCCATTCTCCATGAGCCTAGAGTATTTTATACAGGAGACCCGGGAAGACCCAACATAAATCGTATGCATTATCTCCTGGCTCGGACCTCCGCCTGTCACCCCGATCACTCCCGGAGAATCAGGCGTCCCGCCGGTTTAACAGCTGGACTCGTGCAGCCTCGAGTGCAGCAGGATATGTGAGTCTGCTGCGACTTCAGCCCAGATAGCTGCTGACGCTGAGGTGTGACCGGCTGATCATCAAACAGCAGCCATGAAGCCGGCGTACAGCCTGCACGTGTGACGGGATACTGACGAGGTAGTTCGGCGTTTCTCCGTCATTCGCGTCGTTAGGTCCGATTACTCGGGGCTATAGCCCCGAATATTTTAATCCTACACCCAAGTATTTCAGCCCCGATGCCAATCTTCCTTCCTTCAAATAAATAAAAAAATAAAGAAATAAAGAAAAGAAAATAAAGTAAAACCCCGGGTAAACTTGTCTTAATCCCTGATTTTTTCAATAGCTAGAAGCCCCCCTGATCTCCGGTACTATGCTGCTGGTTCCCTTGGGGGTGTGTGGAATTATAACAGCAGGATGAACCTGCTGGATTTGCGCCCTGTGCGCGGCACCGCGACCGGGCTGAAGAAGCCTCCGCTCTCGCTGACTGCAAGCTGGGCCGCTCCCAAACCATCTCTAATATAAAGTCACTGCCTCTCTGTGTTGCCACAGTATGTCTGCGTTCCCGCACCTTTATCAAATCGCGTTAGTAAACATCGGTTTGGCGTATCTGATGGATTTGATCGACAGGATGGATCGTCTGGCAGGTTCTGACGGAGAGAACCGCGCTCCACGCGCGGACTCCCTTCATGCAGCTGCTGTGGGCTGGACCGCGTCCCCTTCCTCTGGAGGATCTCTCCCCGTGCGTCCCGCGCTGCCCCCTTCCCCGCCCCCCTGCCTTCGGCTCCTCGCACTGGCCCGCCCCCCCTTCTCCACGCCAGGTCCAAATTTCAAAGAAGCCATCATGGCACTGGCGCAGGGCCCCTGGACACCTGACCTGCCCTCCCCCGCACCCAGGAGCCGCCTGCGGTGCTGAGGCCGTTCTCCATGATGAGAAGCTGCCTGTCAGCGCGGCTCAAAGACTCCCATCCTCTCCATCCTCACCGCCGGCTGCAGAGCACCGCCCTCCTTCCATAACAAGTCCCTGGGTATGTTTCCACAACTGTATGTTTGTCTTTTAGAAGAGAGTAATCCTGTCATACAAGAAAGCATTTTTGTCTGCTCTAAAGCTGCACCAGTGGCCTGGGAGGAATATTATCCTGTGAATTATGGCCCCTTCAGAAAACCTGCGGCCATTTTTAGAGCATGTGTCATGTATGCTTGACCACTTCTCGCTGGGGACCCCCCCCGAGCTGTCACGCGCCTGTTTCCTCTCTGGATCCGTGTCTGCTGTGAGCTCATTGGCCATCCGTCTCTGGGTCACTGCTCTGTCCGGCCTGCAGGCTGACACTGTGCCTTTATAAACAAACTGTGGTGTCAGACACATACATGTACACATTGATCTGTAACAGGATGTCTCAGTAAATAGGATCTGACTGCCTGTGCACCTCTGGCACCTATAAATCCGCTTGTTTGTGCTGGTAGATGTCCTCTCTGATTACAGTTAGCTTGCAGTAAACTGGTAGAGTCCTCTGTACTGTGTTTTGTTCAGCTCTCCTGATATGGTCTCTGCATTCACACTACAGTCCACAAGGGCAGATTCTTCCAGAGCATCATTAAATCATTTGAGACAAAGGAATAACACTTGAAATGCCTAATTATAAATATATTGTACAGCAGTGTGGTTTATCCAGAAGTCACAGTCACTTGTACTGATACTTCTTCAACCACATGCTCTGTCGCTGTCAACGCTGCACCTCAGATTGCAGCATGCCTGGGTACGGTGTCCTCATCAGTCTGTTCACTGAGGAGCCTGAGTACCTACGTGTGATTTTTAATGGGGCCATTTGGGGACATTGGTTGGTGCAGGGGGACAGGGTGTGCATGACTCGACGGCAGCTGGATTCCAGGTCGGTCCTGCTGGTTTGAACAACTGCTTATACGGTTCTTTAGGGGCGATGAACTGCAAATGTAACACTGCTCTGATATATGGTATGGTGGGACATAGACCTGCAACTGATCTGGTAACACTTTAGGTTTCAGGCGCTTTTTCTCAGACACCATAAATATGTGCAGAGAAGACTTTATCATTAAATTTTAAGTTTACCCTCTGGGCAATGAAAGCATAAAATAATATAAAAAAGAAAATGAGTCATACTACTGCGGTTATTTTAAAAAATGATGATAGCACCAACAACAGCAGCAATTATTATTATTATTATTATTATTATTATTATTATTATTATTAAGACCGTTGCGTAAAGATGAGTAGTAGAGATTTGGATAGAGTCTATCGTGACCGCTGCTTCAGTTTGCTAGTTTGTATGGTTGTTGCGGCGGCTCTGCAACTGTAGTGTAATATCGTGCAATGCTATTGAAACAGTGCGTGCAGAAAAGCTGGGGCGATTCTAGGATTTGACCCGTAGGACGCTCAGCCCCCTGAAGAAATACAAGACCCCCCCCAACCATTACATTTCTCGAGCAGGGCTGGACGGTTGTAGAAAAAATATTTTTAGAGGGGCTGAAGCCCTACTGGTCTAGAACCGCATATGTAAGAAAGTGTAGCATTAGTCATGTAGGTTCGCTGCCTTTATCGCCTGCACGACCGCCGCGTTGTACTGCATCGCACGTGGATCATGTCTGCAGATGCTCTTCTGAGCTCGGGAAGGACGGTGGCCCTAAACCTGGAAATGTGCCGTCGGTTAATGAAACGTCAGACGACCCTAATGTGTAAATACTACTATCTTCATTTCTACTCCATCTTAAAGTTAGTAAAAAATAAATAAAGAAAGAAATAAAATAGCTACCATCGAAGTAGGGATTTTCAACGGCGTAGGAGTGTTTGATATGGGGGGGGGGGTGCACAGTGTAAATTAAGTAATTAAGTACAGGGATCTGTTTATTGGGTGGGTGAATTAAACCAAATTAAATACTGGGGGGATACGCCCCCTCCCCGGTTCCTACGCCCCTGGGCATTTTTCCCGAGTTTCTGCGAATTAAGTTTCTTTTTTCTTATAAGATGTTATCGGTTCACACGCCGTTAAATACGTGTTTTCCTCCAGGAGCGAAACCCGAAGTGGTTGTTTCACAGTCCATCAACCGCAAAAGCATTACAGAGAGAGAGAGTCATTATACATACACAGTCAGCGTTTTACTAATTATTCGGGAATGAGCCCCACCTGTGTGCTTATGTGACGGCGGGAGGCGAGCGGCGCTGGAGTCACGGCGGAGCGCAGGCAGGGAGGGTATGGTGCCGCTTTTTGCTCCTGCTACTGTGAAATGCTCCACAAAAGCGCTGTTACACCCAAAGTTTTAATTTTACATATTAGTTATATGTAATAATTACATTAAGGTATTTTGTTGTTTTCGATTTTATTTCAACAAAATCATTACTATAATTCTACTTTATTGCTATTCGTAGATCGTCATTAATATTAGGCCAATCTGGAGAATAATGGTTTATTGATGGAATAATTTCATGTACGTGCATTAGCCGTTGTCTATTAAACAATTCACTGTAATCTTCATATTTTTTTGCTTATACGGAATAATTGCTCGGTTTTAATGGTAAATAATGTTACTTTTTAAAAAGCACGGTAGTAGTTTTTAAGTATATAAGCTGGCAGAGACTTGTATGCTGAGAAAGATGCAATCGGCGCAACAAGTTGTCTTGTCAACACACACGCGCCGCTGATGACGCCCCGAAGGGTTAAACCGGAGGAATGTCGCGCTCAGGAATGTGCATGCAAATAGATTTATGCTAATGACATGCTAATGAGCTGTTGGTTGGGAACGGAGCCGTGTCTATCCAGGCTGTTGGGAACTAAGATGGAGGACTGGGGAAAGCGAAATATGGATCTGTACAGAGTTTTGTAGACAGACTCGAAGATTTCGTGTTTCCCGTTGTACTTATGGAGGAACTTTTAGAAGCTGATCATGCCTAGAAAGGGAAATGGACAGCTTCCGTTACCCGACGGTTGGGAAGAGGCGAGGGATTACGATGGCAAAGTGTTTTATATCGACCATAACACTAAACAAACCAGCTGGATTGACCCAAGGGACAGGTAAGAATTTTTCCCCAAGCATATCCTAACCTCGGAGGTGAAACTGGAAGTAAAGTGGTCCAAGTAAATGCGGGAGGGATTCTGATTTTCACGTCGCATTAATATGTCGACGGGTGGCTGCTTGAGTGAATAGGCACACAGGGGTGTTTTTAACGCGGAGCAGGGCGATCGGCGGGGGCTCGGCCGCCTAGTTTCGGCTCCGAAACAATGTAACGAGCGCCAAGTTGCGCTGCTGCGTTACATTCCGCGGCCGGAGCTCGCGAGCGGCTCGTGGGGCCGCCGGGGTCCTGTAGCGGGGGCTGGAGCGCGCACGGGACCCGAGCCCTTTGCACCGACACAATGGGCCGATTGTTCCGCCCGGCGGTTCCGTTTGCGGCTGTAAGCTGCAACATCTCCAGTTTTCCCCTCTGGCGAAACCACTACTTTGTTTTGCTTCACCAGCACTATTCGGTGCATATTTTGCAAGATCGGATCAGTGATGATTCGCAGTTTAATATTAAAACCATGGTCTACCTAGTTAATCTTTTGTGCACTATGAGTTTTTGGTAGACTTAGTCTGACCTGGAATAAAACCTGCTAACTAGTAGTTGTAGTATCACACCGTTATGAAAATGCACAGTATTGAATGGAATTCTTGATCGCGCGAATAGTTAGTTCCAGGACGTTAGTATAAACTATAGTCAGTATAAAATTTGCTTTATTTCTCGTTGGTGTAGGATGTCTAGTGGCTCTTTGGACACTTTTGAAACTTAAGTTTATGCGACTTTATTTTCTCCGGAGCCCCGCACACTGCATGTGGCTGACTAGTCAGACGACGTCGCGTTTCAGATGGGCGGACGGGTGTCGCCGCTGATTAACGTCAAACTAACTTTATTAACTAGCAGTTCGGCGCCCCGGGCTTCGTGTCTCGTGTCCCCCCCCCCCCCCCCACGCTGGGCCTCCCCGCCGCCACGTCTCCGCAGGCCCCGCCGGCCTTTTCAAACCAAATGGCGCTCGGTTTCGCCGTTTTCCGCTCCGCTCGTGTTCTTGCGGCGGAGCGGCGCTGAAGTGCGCGCCGGGTAAGAGGGCGGCTGCCCTCCGTGCTACTTCGCCCGTTATGGACGGGCGGCTCTGGGGCGTATTGACAGCGAAACGGGCGGCCGTAGGTTTAATACCGGAGCTCGCCATTCGACGCGGGGCGACCGGCCGGGAAAAGCCGCATTTAGCGCGATTGTGACTCGTCATGACATTTTGACAGCGATTTGATAAGAGAACCGTGGCATCCAGGCGGGGACACACCGGGACACGGGCTCCTCTCAGTTAGTCACTGGCGTCGGAAATTTCCCATAGTTTCCAACGGCATATATATATATAAACCCTCTCTATGTCCTTCTGTACATTACCCCTTACAATTACGGTAGGGCTTTTAAAACTGGAAACAAATGAACTTATTAGTTTGGATGTAGTCATTTAGTTTAAGTCTAACCTGTTAATCTACGAATGGAACACTTAAAAACCTGAGGTGTAAAACTTGTAATAGAATAAGCGAAAAGGAGATTCAGATATGTGTACAGATGATGGCTTTGTCTGTCATATAGAGGAGGCTGAAACACTTCAGACAGCTTTGGCCTGGAAACCTTGCCTCCAGAGGAGGTGAAGAGCGTGTAGCGCATGGCACCGTCACGGTCATTCCCTGACCCATGTGGGTTTGGAGCAGCTGGCGCGGTGTGGTTCTGGATATGTGCCCTTTCCGGTTACCCCGCTAGCTGGCGGGTGTCGTATAGGAACGTGATTTCCCATCGTAGTGAGTCACCAAAGAGTCAGCTCTGCTGAGCTTTCAGCGGGAAGGATGCGCACAGGATGGGATGCTGAGATGGGCAAGCAGGACTGCTCTTGATTTCCAAAGAGTGTCTGAAATTCCAGTTAGTTACCTTATTAACAGATGCAAAAGAGGCGTTTCTGTCCTATAGGTGTCCAAACTTCCTGAAGCTTCCTAACGAGTGTGACTGTAGTCAGTTCAGATGCAGCCACAGAAGCTCTGCTGACATCTGCACCGGTGGAGCTCCTTATTTTACCAGCACGGTCCCTGATTCTTACAGGCTGCACTATGGACTTCACCAACGCCTCACAGGACTCACTGGCTCCCCTGTGGAGACCCAGCACCCTCTCACCTTGCGCCGTCTTTTCATGCAGGGATGAGGGCCCAGCCCACCTGCTTTGACCCCCCACTTTGTTTGAATTCAAGCTGGGAATTTTCAATGCTTTGTAGCCCTAACCCTGTCTTTTTATCCTTTGATAAATATATATGTCTGTTTTACGCATCACCAATGAATGAGGCTCGCGTGGATCGTGACACGTTTCTGGTTTGCTATTGGCTGAAACTGTGTTTCCCAACCAATATCTTCGCTAGACAAGGTCCTGGGTCTTGCTAAGGTCCAAAGATCTGCATCCTCAGAAATAAAGTTTCTTGGACTCTGCCCTCTGCTGTGAGCAGTACTGTGCAGCTATGCGCAAATAGCTTAGGTTGGGCTAAAAATGTTGTTCATTTAGCCTTGTGCTTTTTAACTTTTAACCGGGGACCCCTGACAGCCTCGGTGGATACCTTGTACTTCTCACTCTCAGGAATTTCTCTTGCTTTGGAATAAGGAAACTGAGGGTATGAACAGTTTTGGAATAATGTAGCTATTGGTGCTTTCGGTTCAACTTAGGCTATTTATGTGCCTGTGAAATACAACACATTGCACAGGCTTAGTTTAATGTTACTATGGACGTTGCATGTCATACATACACAGTTGTCTTATTGCCAGGACTGCGATAGTCAGTTGGGTTGAGACCATTAATAAGTTTGAAACATTTTTTTTGCTCTGTCATAGGAAACAAAATTTAGCAAGCTCTGTAACTGTAATGATCCTTCCTTTTTAAAATGATCGAGTGTCCAAAAAAAAGTCAGAATTTTGCTACTGCTGTTTTTGTATGAGCGCTGCATGTGCTCTGCGAGCCAATCACAATCATTCTCGTTCTGTTTGACTTACTCTAGAGTGTTTGATACGTTTCTGAGAAAATTACCCAGAATGACTGAGGGGAGAAAAGCGAACAAGAATTGGTCACCAAAAGGCATTAGTCTTCCGCTGTATGGAAATACTTTGGATTTCACAGAGACAATATTGAGCAAAAGCAAATTTTTGTTGGCACACCTCGCGGAAAACTACCAATTTATTTGACAGATTTTATTGGTAGACAAATTCTATTTGGCTATAGTCAATTTTGGATACATTTTCAATTCCTTTATAGTTTTTTAGAAATGTTTTGGTGTTTCTCACAAATATATGAAATATTTTCCTGATCCGCCCCCTCCCCGATATCTTGTGGCTATTGACCAAACATTTTAGCCACGGTTTTGCTGTTGGTCGGATAGCTTGCAATGGTCTCTTGTCCAGGTGCGGCCCTTAATCTTTTTGCTGGCAAGGTTTGCAGCAGTTGGAGTGTTGTAGGGGTGCCTACTGGGAGATTTTCATCCTGGGGGAGCAGTGGAAAGGGGGCCTGTAACAGGAACTGCCTGCTGTCGGGGGAAACCGGTGCCAGCCTCGGATCGGCTATCGTCCAAACGCTGGAGTCATCTCAGGAACACACGGTCAAATGCCTATCGAAAGAGTCAGAATCAATTCAGTAAAAGCAGCTGGTCGCTCTTTGGTTAAGGACACAGTTTTCTGAATTGAAGGTTGTTGGTTCGAGGCTGTGGATAGGGTTTTGCTTTTGTCTCCTTAAACCTGTCCAGGTATTTTATCTGAGCTTCTCTGGGAGAAATCCAGATGAATAAAACTAAGTAGCTCCAGGTACCAGTGTTCAAGTAACTGACGAAATGATGACAGTGATTCAAATTGAACATGGATGAAGACTCGTTCAGGATAAATTTACGACTATCACTCAGTTGTTTACAAAAAATACTTCTAGGAAGTGAGCAAGCTAGATGGCTCCAATGGGGTTCTCCTGACAACCTGAGGCAGGAGGTGTGTGGTTGGACCAGGACAAAATAAAATTCTCTTTGAAGGGGTGGCAAGAAGCAAGACTCAGGTTCGTCTTGTTGGACTGACAGCTGCTTAGAAAAGGCCTTGACGCTTGGGGGAAATGGGGGAGTGTAGATGTGAGAACTTCACCATAGTAGTTGTAAGCGCTTTCCCAAAGGAACCTCCATCCATCTGTTGTTTGACTGAATCTGTCAGGAATCACCCAGTGTTGAAGGTTGTGTCCTGATGAGAGGCTTCCTTAATCAGACCCGAAGCTGAGACCCTCTTGTTCTTCTCAACTTCGCAGATATTTCACCCCAATTGCATGACGTGATCCCTCAGTCATAAGACTGCTTAAGTCCAAGAGCAGGGCTGGCCATGTGCGTCCGCTGTCAGGTGCAGTAGACACAAAGCTTAGTAGAACTGAGGACTGTGGTCCATATGAACTTCAGCTCTCTGGTTTTCTGATATGCTCGAACAGCCAGCTGGGTCTGGATACCAAGAACCCAATGGATGCTCGTGTCGTGGCTCCTAGTTAAACAGGCTTTATGAAGGTTGCACACCCCTGTCGGGTCATCGTCCAGCAATCGCTGCTTCTTGAGACAGGGGTCCAACCATGGCACTTCAGTCTCTAAACCTAAGCTGATATAACCCCCCGTATGGTTTCCAATGGCAGAAATGAACCTTCTGAAACCATTATGCGGTGTATGTTGCATTGGATGTTTGGCACCATCATCCCTATTTTTAGGTGTTCCTGACATTTGGATAATTTCATTCGTTTACATACCTCAACTATATTTGTCAGGAGGTCTAAGCTGTTCAGTATCACGGTGGTCTAAGATTTGTCTTCTAAGTGTCCCAGTATCTCCAGGGTCGTGGGACAGGTTCCCACCCCTGGATCAGGAAGGTGGAGTTTGCGTGTTCTTCTCATGTTCATGTGGGCTTTCTCTGTGAGTGCCCTGTGAAGGACGGGCTTTTTGTTATCTGGAATCCCCCTGTTTTGCATCTCCCTGGCAC